CTCGCACCACCTGGTGAGCTGTTGGCTGTTTTGAGTTTAAACAGCTTATCCAGTTTCCTGCTTAGACGCAACACAGCAAGACGGGAGCGTCTGTAAACTTAAATCTGCATTTAGAAGAGTGTGTTTCATTTATTAGTTAGACCACCACTTCAGGGCAATACTTTTAAATAGAGGTTTGTAATATCATTGCGCTGGAATAGTGGAGAGACACATCCCTGAACATTCAGCCAGAAACCTGAGCAGATACACGAGGTCACATGACTACATGACACTTTCTCCAACTGTACAAAAGAGTGCGCAGTAGTGAGAGGGTTGCTTGAGCTATGGCGTCGAGGTCCCGTCCACACACACGCGCCCGAGCCAATCAGAAGCTTAGCACGGCCAACAGGTTGTTAGCATGGGACACCTAGCTGCTACGTTAGCGGTTTGGCTGGAAAGACAACAACTAACTCACAACATGTATTCTATTGGTTTCGTTTACTGGGACACGAATTGTTCGTATCTTTGGTGTCGCTTGGAACAACTTTTTTGTCGGGACGACATTACGTCAAAAGGGAAAGTTAGGATTGGGCAACGGAACTACTTAAATATTGGATAAACATCATGGTTGTGCTTCAAATAACTATGTAGATTTATACCACAATATGGTGGTTATGTTTAGGAAACTAAACCACCATAAAACCACAACGCGGGTATCGAACACCGGTCTCGTGGTTGAAGTCCTGCTTGTATCCACCACGAAAAAAAGGATCCTAATCGTCTTCTCATGTCGTTATTTTTGTCCTGAGCAACAGGGAAAAAACCCAGACAATTTGTCTATTTGCCAACGCAGAAGTGTCTTAAAACCTGCATTCTCTCTAGTGTCCACCAGGGGGCGACTCCTCTGGTTGTATAGAAGTCTATGAGAAAATGACTCTACTTCTCTCTTGATTTATTACCTCAGTAAACATTGTAAACATGAGTTTATGGTCTCAATCTCTAGTTTCAAGTCTTCTTCAATACAGCATGATGTTCATTTAGTACATTATGGTCCATTTAGAGTCAAACAGACCATAAAGCAGGGGATGCTTTAGGGCGGGGCTTACAGTGATTGACAGGTCGCTGCCACAGCGTTGTCAGGTCTGGGAGTTGTCCGTGTTTTTGTCTTACAACTTAAACCCCTTCATGAAAGTTAATTGTAACATTTTGGTCGCCAAAATAAATTATCTTATTATTGTCTTATCAAGCGTCCGGTTCTATTTAGCTCCACCCTCTTTTGTCTTCTCCTGGTTGCAAAAAAAGATGGCGACGGCCAAAACGCTGAACCCAAGGCTTCAAAACGGCCGTCCACAAACCAACGAGTGACATCACTGTGACTAAGTCCACTTCTTATATAGTCTGTGGTTTAAACAGCGAGATGCATCAGTCAACATTGCTGCGATAACGTGATGAATTTCAACATATTAACAAACGTTTAACGTCTTTGAGATGCCAGATCTGATCCTGTTTAAGAGTCAATAACTCAGAACACATTCTACAAGATAAAAACCAAACACAATGTCGGCCTCTTGGATTGTGAGTCTGCTGCACACAGACACGCTGAACGTCACCGTCACTGTTAACACAGAGTCTGCAGAGTCGATCTCACACTTCACTGATGAACCAGAGAAAGATTCAGAGGAACATTTGGCTTCGTAATGAAAGAAGTTTTGTGTAGAAGTTTTAGAAATAGACTTATACATACTGATAAATTAATGGAGAACAATTTGATCACGGTTGGTGAACACAGGTAACAGAGGAAGGACTTTTAATTAAAGGGGAAGTTGCATAAACTTCCAGATCACATAGTTGAGATCATCTGTAATGGATCTCTGACGCTCTTTGGCCAACAGGTGGTTTCATGAGCTTGTGAACCTTCTGAGAGACAGTTTGCTGGAAAGCTTCGATGCCTCATGAAGATTCATCTCCACCAAACGCAGACAAAAACAGACAGAGAGATATCTGGTCACTGGTTTTATGGGGAAACTTCCAGTTACAAGACGGGCAAAGGGTCAAAACTGTGAAAGGAGCGAGAGGAAAAGAGCTCATTAAATACCTGCAGGGCTGATGAGCAAAGTGGGAACAGGTGTGTCGACGGGTGGGGCTCCCAGGTGATCTCCAGGCATCTGGTGGATGGATGGAAAATGGCAACGAAGGGGGCAGCGATAAGGGCCAGATCCCAGTGTGACCCCTAAAGCCTCAACCCTGAACCATGACGTCACCTGTTACATGGTTAAAGTGCGAGAGACTGTGAGGGCTTGAAATAGTGTAAATACGAATGGGACAGCGCCACTGGCAACCCCGTGTTTATCATCACAATGCTATGAATTGTGGGTAATTCTTTTGGGACTCATGGAAAGTGTTCACAAAGGGCTCACAATGTCTGCGAGAGAGAGAAAGACCTCAAACACTGGATGATTTTAACGATGTGACAGAACTACACCTGTGAGAGTGGAGATTGGTGTCACGACGAGATGATGCCACAAGGAAATTACATTTTGTTTTTGACTGTATGACAACTTTTCTAACCATTATTTTTATTCTTTTACCCATAAAATAAAACTTCAGCTGTCCACAGCCAGAGAAGAGCAGAAGAGGTTACTTCATTATTATAGCGTCAGACTTGTAGACACGTTTGTATGTTACCTACCAGATACACTGTCATACGCTGTATGTATCTGGGAGAACAACTTCTGGTGTTAGAGGTATAATGTCTTGTTAACAGCCCCAAATGTTCTTTAGGAGGTGAAGCTCTGAACGTGGTCATACCTGTAGAGCTAGTGGAAATTCATTGCTTGTATTATTTTGGCAAAACAATGTCTTCACTTCCAAAGTATTTGCCTGCAAAACCCACAGCGGATGTTTTTTATAATGCATGTTAGGTCGAAGTGGCTGAGCATCACACACACACACACACACACACACACACACACACACACACACACACACACACACACACACACACACACAGCAGACGTGCAATCACATCAGCGCTTCAGACGCTTCGGCCGAGTACGACTGGTGTTTAATCAACGTGTTGTTCAGCGGTCGGAAGTCCTGTGATCTGAATGTGCACTCAGGAAAAGCCAGAGGTCTGTTTGGCCTCCTGAAGAAAATGTACAACCGCCAAACTAGTGATGGAATCTGTGTGTCGGTGTGACCTAATGCTACTTGACAGCCCGACCGTCCTCTGCCTCCGATCCACCTGATGACTCTGAGCGCCATGGAGCGTTAAGTGGACCAGAAAGATGCAGATGAAATGGAAAGTGTGGTAGAAAATTATAAGTGATGAAGTGTGTGTGTGTGTGTGAGTGAGTGCGTGTCCCGGTGGCGAGCCCGGTGGTCAGGACTGTGACACACGGTGGAAGTGACAAGGTAGCGACAAGTTTCCTCTGATCAGGGTTTGCAGACTTGACAGAGTTTTTAGACTCGGAGGCACTCAGCCCCGATGGTCTCCATCTTTGATTTTTGACACACACACACACACACACTTTGGAAAACCCCTGCGGGTGGGTGGTTCTCCTCCTCCCTTTCCTGTCACCATTTCTTCTTCTTTTTTTTGTAGCCTGAACCTTTTTTTTTTTTTGTTTTAACAAGCTTTGAATGCAAACATGTAGCTCTGAAGTGTTTTAGATTAATTGGTGTCGAATATAAACGCGTAGGACGAGTTCTGCATGTGGTGTTCATGAATGTAGTTTCTCATATTCAAACATAATAATTCTTGAAGTGATTATTCAAAAATGAGCAGATTTAGCTGATTATCACCTCCTGTTTGGTACACAATCAAATCTTATTCCACTCCACCTAAATGAAGTATTCAGGCTGATGTTGCAAATACAATAAATTAATTTGACTGTTTGAATGACAAAACCTCATCATATCAGCTTCAACTAAATATCTTGTGAACACGCTTATTAAAAGTGTTTATCTATTCAAACCAGAGTTCTTTTTAGTTTAGAGGGTATACGATTCATATTTATTCTCATTATTATCGACCCATGATCGTCCTCGTTGACAGTATTTTGTCAAGTTTAAAAGAGGTAAAAATAAAACACCAAAGTGTGATTTACATTTTGTACAAACTTGTCATTTGCAAGTGTTGATTGCAAATGACAAGTTTAAGTGAATTCAAACTTTTGAAATATTGCAAAAAGGAAATGGGGGGGATTATGTGCGTTTCCATCGACTGGATCGAAGCGAACAAACTGAGCCAGCATTTGTCACCACTGAGACTAATTCATCTTCATAGAAGTAATAAAAAATAAACAGGAACATACAAACATTAGAGAACCTCGTCCTGAACCTATTGTTCAGACTCTCTCTCTCTCTCTCTCTCACACACACACACACACACACACACACACACCAACTCCTCTCCTCTCGGGGTCTTCCTCTCGGTGATGAATGTAAGCTTCCCTCCTGAGCAGATATCGATGGTTATTTGGGCTTATTCCTTCCAATCTGTTGTTCACCTCACAGTGGAAATGGAATCCATTTCTGCCCGGTGACTGTAGCACGAGGTCATTTGGCTGGCTGGCAGCCACTGGTCCTCTCTGTCCTATAGCTGCACAGCTATCTCACCCCCATTTCCTAAAGTTTACCTCGAACAAACAAGTGCAGCAGACACCCTCAGCTCTGAGACTCACAAACTCTCCTTCAGCTGAAATGAAACAAAGTGCAGAGCACCGAGCGCTTCTTCAGTCTGATCCGGCTTTTCACAAACAATCTCTGGAGGAAGTAGAAGAAAAAGAAAGAGACACGGAATACAAACTTTTTTATTATTTTCAGTCATATCAGTTTCCATCTCGTAAAGCATAGATATATATATATATATATATATATGTTTGTGATTTCAACAGGAAATCAAACACCCAACATTTCATCACTCCAAGAAATGCACTTTTTATTTTTTGCACTGTGAAATCCAGGACGACGATTGGAAGAAATGTAGTGTGTCAACGGGTTGTTGAGGAGCGTAGTGATCAAATCAAATAAAAGCTCCACACGTAAACATGGAACCAGCCTTTCCTTCAGACACGGAGCTCAGATTGTCAGGGCGCTTCTTCAGCGGAGAGAATCGGAGACGTTTGTTATAATAAACCTGCAACATCGACCTCACGCTTCATCTCCACTGCGTGAGTCGACTCTGCTCGTGTTTGGATGCCGGCTTCTGTTTCTATTATTTCTAAGCTGATCATCAAAGCGTGAAACTGCCGGGACGTTTATCTTTAACGCCTCGCGCCTATCGTACCGCATACCTTTTTTTTTTGCAGGCTGACATTTAAAAAAAAAAATCTGTGTTGAGAGAATAGAAAATAAAATAAAAACTTGCAGCTATTTAAAAAATGGAGGTTTGTGCAGGATGTCCCGCACTCTTTGACCAATCGGTGGTCTGCAGTGTCTAAGTAGCCGGCACTATTAGCAAATTTAACAAAAGAAGAACCATAAAAGTTGAGTAAAGCCGTGCAAACACGGCCTCAGAGGTTACAGATTGCATCACGGAATAAAATTACTAATTTGCCACAAAATGCTATTTAAAGCTTAAAGTGAGACTATGTAACTTTTAACAGAAGAACACAGTCTCACACTGTGCACAGAGCTTCTCTCAGTTAATAAAGCCTAATGTGGTCTGGTATGACCAGCAGCTTCACCAAGCTATTGTTAGCTGATGTTAGCATCTGTTGACATCGCTGAGTCAGCTCTTTACGGACTCCTCTTTGTGTTGCTGGTAAACTATGTTGTTGGCTTCACTTTAAACATTTTGTGTAAAGGCAAATATTACAATGAACTCAGGCAGTTCATCACTGAGGCTGGTGTCACGAGTGAGTAAAAACTATTCTAAAGCACCTAAAATACATGATGTGTATAATCAGTTATTGGCACTGTAAACATGTTTAAGGAGTTTTTTGCAGAGCTTGCAGTTTGGTCCAGGAAGAAGAAAGAAAAGTGCATTTGGGGGAAAAATAAAAGCAAAACGGAACGTCTTCCTGAGATCCCACATGAAATCATGTTTGGAGTGAAACGTCTTGAGACTTCTATAGTAGCACCGTCGTTGTTATTGTTTTACCCAAAGCTCCTAAAATGGTAAAAAGCAGATTTCCTGCAGACGACTGCTCCGAGGTGTAACGCAGTCCAACTTTCTGTCAACGATGTAACGCATCCAAACTTTAGCTCTCTAAATAGCGAGGCACTTCTCTTTTTGGTCTGGAGGCGTATGGAATTGTCATTTTAAGGAGTTTGAGCCGCAGCACACCGAGAAAACAACTCATGAGAGGAACAAAAGGGGGGTAAATTAAAAACAATTCTTATGCAACGTGAGTTTCTACCTCAAGACAAAACTGAGAAACTACTTCTTTACTACAAAGCTCAAACAACGAAGAATAAACTTTTAACTATCAATATTCATATTCAGGTTTGGAATGTATCGGGAATTAGTCCGCTGTCTCTATCGAAGACACGGACGAGGGAGTAAATTTACCCCGGTGGGTGTGAACATTTGATACTGCTGGTCGTACATGTCTGAAAAAACTTAACTTACATACATTCAATCAGCCTGATCATTCTGATTGTTTTATGATTAAACTAGTGAAGGCTGAACTTCAGAAGTTTGATGGTAACACCAGTCAGTGGTCCACAAACCTTCACCGAGATCCTCCTGCTGACTCTTCAGAGGTCGGTGGTGATGACGGGCGTGACCCCGTGGATGAGCAGCGTGGGGCCCAGGTCCCGAGTCAGCAGCTCCAGCTGGTCTAAGTAGGTGGTGTAGCGGCGGGTGTCAGCCGGCGGGCGGGGCAAGTACAGGAACCGCACGGCGGGAGCGGGCCGGGCCGAGTCCAGGATCAGCTTGTTGACGGCTGACAGGTAGTTGTCCGAGAGGCGCGTGGCATTGCTCGGGAAGCTGTTGACGTAGTTGTCGTCGTTCTCCTCCTCGTGCTCGTCTGCTCTCTGTTTCTCCTCTTCCTCGTCGGTGGTGGTGTTGTCGGGGGATTGCGGCGGTGGCTTCTTGCCCCACTCGCCCTGGCGCTGCCAGTGGAGCGCCACCTGCTGGTCCCAGGGCACCGAGTACACCTGAGCTTTGATCCGCAGCTCCTTCAGCAGCTGGCCCAGCTTCTCCTCCGAGGCCCTCACGCTCCGTCCTTCCTCCACGCACAGGAAGAGGCGGAGCGTCGCCCGGCGCCACGCCCTCACCATGTTGAGGATGCATGCCAGCTGCAGCAGGAACAGCGAGCAGGTGTCCACGTAGCTGCAGCTGTCCGGGCGCAGCAGGTTGACGGGCCAGACGTCCACGTACACTGCAGAGGAGGAGGAGGGTGGCGAGAGGACCCGGGCTCGGTCAAAGCCGTTGAAGTATCGGGCGAGCACCACGTTCTTCAGCATCTTCATGGCGTCGGCGATGATCGCTACGTACTCTCGGGGTCCCAGGACCTTCCCGTCACCAAACTCGCCACAATCCTGCCGGTCGCTGGACCCCCGCAGGGAGGAGAAGAGGAAGAGAGGGGGCTGCGGTTCGGTCTCCTGCAGGGAGTCCGAGGGATCTGTGGACTGAGCGGTGGAGAGAGACGGATCAATCAGCTTGTCCTTTGGAAGACAGTCATCATAGAAACCCAGGACGAGGATGTTGGGACGCATCCCACCTGAACAGCGAGGAAGGAGGAGAAAAACAACATGAGGGGAAAGAATGAGAACATTTATAGCAATCTAATAGCAAACAGTCTTTTATCATTTGCATTTATTTCTTGATTTGTTCAGTGAAGTATCGAGGTTCTATCAGATGAAGTGGAAGTAAGAGACGGATGTGAAGAAGACGGTGAATGTGAGAACTGGAGGGAAGCCAAAGAGAGATAAGACAAGAGAGTGGACTCAGTTACACCTGAGTGACAACTCTCTGCAAGGCAGGACGACAGCAAATAACAAGGAAGGAACTAGAGAGACAAATCTCTTTTTACTTTTCAGAGCGGGTGCTACTGAAGAGGAGAGCGTGCTCAAACATTAGTGTAGTGCTAAAACCAAGACTAAAACTACACTGAGAATACATGATCTAGAAAGGAAAAATGTACTTTTTAAAAGCGTGTGCTTGTAAGGGCTGAACATTTGAAACATCTGAAATAGTTTTAATGTCTTAACATGTTGAGTCTTTTGAAATGCCTTCGTATGGCAACGCTAAAGGTTGAACGTATTTAAGGACATAATATTGTACCTGAAGTTTCAAGCACTGAAAGCAATTGAAGTGGTTGAATTACTGAAAGAAGTTTGAACGGCAGTGCAAATTAAAACCCTGAGAGGATGTGTAGTTTCAGGTGAATGAAGATAAAGTGTGTTTAAGAAGATACTGTAAGAAATGTAAGTGGCACTTTAATTAAAATGCAGTTAGAATGAAAGTGCCAAACGAGTTAAAGTTTAAGTGTAAACGCTTCATTTAAGTCGAGCTCTAATTGAAGCGCTGAAAGAAATTCAAATGTATGTTAGAATGGAAGTGAACGACAGACAGCTGGATCAGCTGAAAGCAACTGAAGTGAAAATTGAAGTGCTGAAAGGAATTGAACTTTAAGTGTCAGCACTGAATGAAGTTGAAGTGTCAGTTTCATTGTAAGCAATAAAATAAATTGAAGTGGCAGCTGAAACCAAATGACTGATGCAAGTTAAAATGGAGGTGATGATAGTTTCAGTTGAAGAGTAAAGACTGAATGAAGTTGAAGTGGAAGTTGCAGTGACAAGACTTCTTTTTTTCCAGTTAAACCAAAAGTAAAATTCCTGCCTGACATTCCAACAACAAAACAATGTAACCAGTTATTGTAGTTTGTCAACATTACAATTAGAAAAATCACATAAAATACTTTAATCATAAAATGAGTACGAATCAGCTTTCAGATATCAGTGTCAGCTTTCCAATGTCCTTGTTGACCAACTGGGACATTTGGTGGTGATGACGGTGACACTGACCTAGTCCAGAGATGAAGAGCAGATGCTGGACCCCGTGACGCACAGAATCGGCCAACGTCAAGTTGACAAAAGACTTGATGTTTAGATGGTCCACCAGCGACAACCAGGAGTCGTACTGGGACTGCAGGGGGTCCGATGGTAAAGTGTCTGGGAGGGTGGAAAAAAAACAACAGAAAAGGTATGAGGCGAGAGACGAAGCTGACAGTTCATTGGATGTCTTTGGGGCTTCAGAGAAGGCCGAAAAACACAAGATATACAAGTGAATTGAGAGAGTGGAGTCGTCGGCGTGAAAGAGCTGGAATCAAAGGCACAGCGTGAGAGAGGAAGACAAGATGCAACGAGAGAGAAAGATGCAAGCACAGATGACAGCGTGGACGGAATGTGAGACGGAGAGGAAGATACAGGGAAGCACAAAGAGGCAGCCAGGTGATCAATCACCCCCACCAACATCAATATGCATGAAGAGAGCAATCCAGAGGCCACATCTAGAGTCTCATACACAATTCCAGTGATCATTTGAGCTGTGTTCAGATCTCTACAGACTCCTAAGTCTTGTTTGAATTCAGCTTTAATTCAAACGGCTGCTAGACAACTTAAAACACATTTGAAGTACTTGGGAGTCCTCAACAACAAAGCCCTCTTCACTGTAGTTATGTGAATGAATCACTCCTTCATATTTCTCAGGACCGAGTGCATCATCAGTACTCAAGGGCTCTTCAGTGACTAATGAACATATCACTTCTTCACTGCGAAACACTCGAGAGGATTTGGATTCTGAAGACCCCGTTCAGGGCCAGTCCCCCGTCTGCCATCAACACATAATGAAACCCACCAACAAAAATCCTCAAAAGACAATCAGTGACCCTCGCTCCTTTAAAACTCTAGTGTGCCTCTGCAGAAAACAGAAAGGAGACGCCTCCGGAGGATTGTGTGTGCGATTACTTCCTCCCTGAAAACAAGAAGCGCAGCAGACGAGCCGATGTCACGGAGGAAGGTCTGAATGCTAAAACGGTCCATTAAATGATGCGCTGCTCACCGTGACACAGGAAGGCTTTCTGCTAATTCATACACTTACATATTTTAAAAAGAGCTCACGGATATTTTTGAGCCGATCCTTAATGAAAAACACTTTAGTAAAGTGGCAGTATTACTACAGTGACAGTAGTACAACAATCTGCTATTCAAAAGTCAGCAGTAGTGTCGACAGGCAAGTCAAACAAGCTTTTAGTTTCTGTCATTGCCGCCTCTAAATATCATAATAATGTTAAATTATCCAAAAAACTACATCCCATCACCATCGCTGATTTGTTTGCTCATAATTAATAGTCGCCGTGTCACGCTGAGCCGGATTAGATGATGAAACGGTGCAGAAGGAAACTTTCAAGTGCTCCTGATGATCTGATGTTGTCACGCCGGAAAACTTTGAGAAGTCAACACTGTGTGGTTTCCTGATTGTTCGCAGGAGATAGGAACAGATTTATGAAAGAGTCCGCTCCATCGGGACCGTAGGGTGTTCAAAGACGACTATTCGACATTCACAGCATTAACAGAGCCGTGAACAACTATCTGAGACAGTGGAGAAATGTTCAGCAGAGAGTGAAGTCACTCTTCCTCCGCTTGTGCTTTGGATTTTTTGCATGTTGGTGCATTCAAGTCCTGGTTTGTGTGTATACTTAATACGGCAGTTAGCGCCGATACCCGACCGATGGCGTTTACCCTCCGGTTACCCTCTCAGGTTAGCTCTGCCTGCACTGTTGCCGTTGTCTGCGCTGCTAGCACCGTTCGCTGCTAGCCGCCGGCTCAGTCATTGCCACATTGAAAGCCGTATGGAGGCAATCCCTCGATCGTAGATTTGCTCTGAATTCCGTGTAGAGCTATTTTAAGTAAGTATAATATAACAGCAAAGCCGAATACAATCAGAGACTTAACGGCGGGTCCGTGTCCTTACTGAGATCTCCAAGCTGGACGTGTCCCAACACGTAGAGGCCGCTCTTCTTGATGTCGTTGATGAATTTGATGAGGCCCACACTGCTGCGAGGGTTGGAGACCATCAGCAGGACCTGAGGCCTCCAGAACTTCACGTGGTCCTTCCTCACGTCCAGCATCAGCAGGTACTTGCGGACCTATAGGAGACGAGAGAATCGGGATGAGGGTTATTAATGACAAGTGTGTTTATTTTCACCCTCATTTAACACTTTGGTCCAAACCAGATCCAGATTCAGGCTCAGAACTTAATTCCACTTTATTTACATGAAACTAACTACAAGACATTTTTTTCTGGAGGCGATGTAACTTTCACACATTTAGTTTTTGGTTGCAAAAAGAAGTCTGGTTGTATAGAAGTCTATGAGAAAATGCCTCTACTTCTCTCTTGATTTATTACCTCAGTAAACATTGTAAACATGAGTTTATGGTCTCAATCTCTAGTTTCAAGTCTTCTTCAATACAGCATGATGTTCATTTAGTACATTATGGTCCATTTAGAGTCAAACAGACCATAAAGCAGGGGATGCTTTAGGGGCGGGGCTACACAGTGATTGACAGGTCACTACCACGGCATCAGTCAGCATTGATGCACTAAAAGACCCTCTAAAGCAGTGGTTCCAAACCTTTTTATGTCAAGCTCCCCTTTGATGATATAGGAACATTGTAATGACAGTTTTCCAATTTATTTTTAAAAAACTCAAGGTGCTTGTCCACATGGTGGGTTTCCAAGTGTTTTTTCAATTTAGTGGGCTTCATACTGTCTGCTGCCAGCACACTGGGGTCTCTCTTCTTGGCCGACCATCGTGCTTCTAAAGCCCAGCGACAGATATGCCTCGTTATATTTTCTTGCTTTTACCTGTTTTTGTGCCCAAATATGGTAATTGTTTCCTCCAAAAAGCTAAAATGGCGACAACCAAATTGCCAAACTTAAGGCTTTAAAAAACATAGTCCACAGAACAATGGGTGACGGAATGGTGACGAGCTCCACTTCTTTTATACAGTCTGTGGTTAGAACGAACTTTGAACTTCAGCATTTAGTTTGGATTTGAAAATCTACAATTCCATCACGAGTTCATCTGATAATGTGATACGATTATAAGCTTCAAAACAGCTACTAGATGGAACTGAAGACAATCATCACAATGAACATAGTTTATTATTCAGATAGTATGTTCATGTAGATTTCTACAACATATTGCTAATCTTAGCTTGTTTACATCCGGTCTTATTTTCTCCCTTATACATTTGTTTTTCTCGTATTATTTCACTAAACCGTGTCCCAATATGTATGTGATTTATAATGCCCAGATTTGTATCCCCAATTTATTTGGGATTAAAGGCAAATGCAAAAAAAAAATAAAAAATCCCCAAAAGCTCCCACGAGACGGATCTGTCCGCGTCAGAGGTGTGGACGGGATCAGAGTGATTTCAGTTACTGGAACGAGCTGCCAACTAATTCAGTTCAGCAAATGAGTTGCAAAGATGTAAAGAAGAAATGGCACAAACTTCATCTAACGAACTCAGGGTTTCTGCTGCTACAGCCTCACATAGCTTATGGTGATTCATGTTAGCAGACTTCATATACTATACTTTATATATATATATATAGTGCTGTTTAACTGACTTCATGATACTTTATTTGTGTTGCTGCAAACAATAAAAGTACATCGGCCTAGCAATGCCTCACTAAGAGACAGCTGTACCAATGTCACCACAGCTGGGACCGGTAGCGTGTGCTACTAAACCTTATGTTGGTTAAAACCACTGTGATCTTATTGTCAGAGTCATTAAAACGACACATGAATCTATACAGATATGCATGTATAGCAAATGTCAGGTATATGAATCACAATGTTCAAGATATTGCACGTAATGTCCCGTTGTTGCACATTAAGTGCATGTCCCGTAAGAAGTTGATCAAATACTGAAATCCTATTTCATCAGCATCAACAACATCAAACGAACGGAGCAGAACAGAGCAGTGATGGAGGCTGGAGACACCTCCTGGCTCTGTGTGTGTGCGCCTCCATCTCATATGTATGCATGTGCTGCTGTACTGTAGCTGCACAGATTTATCTCATGTAGAGACAAATTACATCTCTAATCAGCATCCAATTAGGATGTGAGACTGAGGCAGGGACCAAATGGACTGTGTGTGTATATATACAGTATATATATATATATTTGTGTGCAGATGTGAGCATGTGTATATATATATATATGCATGTGTACATGTGCCAATCAAACTGTTATTGGTAAATGAAATAGACCCAGCTGTGGTTGGTTGCCTCTGAGTGAATGCTTGGATGCTAGTGCGTATTGCTTTGTATTGCGACGCACACTGTACAACAATGATCATTAGCATTCTTGATAAGGGGCCATCAAGGTACCATTGAGGAAATGTAACAAAGTGGAACCAAACACGCACTCGTAACAAGGCAGGGATCATTCCATTGGTCAAAACTACACCGGGCATTCTACTGGTTGGGATATTTTGCACGAAAGAATCAGAGAGCAGAGCAGAAATCTGAGAGCAGACATTTCTCGAGTAAAGTGCAGGATATCTGTGTGCAAGCATCAGCATATCTGAGTGCAAGCATACAGAAGAAATCCAAGTGCAAGCAGGTGCTTTTTGAGTGCAACGGCAGGACCGCGCTCTTGAATAAAGATAGGAAGAAAAAGCTCCATAAAGTGACACTGCGTTACAAGAAAGGTGGTTAAGAAATTCATCTCTGATGTGTGAACAGCTGGGAGGTGATGTGAAGGACTACAACTTTACTGCTGTCAACCAATCGCATCAGAATCAGAGCAGGTGGGGTGGGGTGGGAGGAAGTGGAACCTAAAGCACAAGCCAATTAAAGAAGTAGGCCTCTTCTGGTTTAGAGAATCACCCCTGAAATGGAAGCACGTCATTTGAGAACGACTAAGAATACTTCAAAATGACTTTCATTTGAAAACTCCTTGAGGTCGCGTGTGACAGACTCGAGGTAATGATGTGAAATTGTAGGAAGAAATGACACTCTTCTTGTGCTGCAGCTCCACTTAGGGATTGTATTTCTGAAAACAACCAGAAATAATGTGAATTGCGAGAGCGGCTGCCTGAAGCGGTGTGTGTCTACGCAGCCATCAATCAGAGACATGAAGACACAACCATTTGCAACAGTATTACCGTCATAATCACCACAACTGTTTTCATGCTCCCGTCCGGTAATTGTCAAAAACAAGAACAAAAAAAACACCGAGGCCCCAGAGGCAAAGTCCAACTGCCTCCACTCATCTAATCATCTGTCTCTCTTTATCTCTCCGTTTCCCCCTGTCTTGTCATCCATCAGACTATCATCATTTCTCTGTCACTTCAGTCTCATCCATCACTTAGTCTCTCAATCTCTCCCTCCCATGATACCATCAGCGGTTCTTGCCTCAGTTTGTCTTTTTCTTCACTCTCTTTCTGCTCCTAAACACCGTCTTCAGCCGCCTGCTATCTCCCACTGTGTGTTTTGTTGTTGTTGTTGTTGTTTGTTGCGAGCTGTTGTTGTCTACCGTCCCTGCTTCAACGTCACCCAGTTGGCGTCCTGCCACCCGTGGCCACCGGATGGAGGGTGCATGTGTGCGATATGAACATGCACACGCTTCTTCTCCCGTTAGGTCTATTAGTGGAATCGTTTAAATCGGACTGGGCTCCGTGCCAGGGGCTTTACAGAAAGGAGGCACATTGGGAAAATTAGTAAGAAATGTGTTAAGACATGCATTTAAAGCCCTGCTTATTGGCAATAACGATCTGTTCATTATAAATGGTTAAATTGTTTATTTAGTTAGTTAGTCATTTGTTAATTCAGCGTAATTAACAAATGCCAAATAAACAACTTTAAATGCTGTAATATGATGATGAATACAACATGCTACGGGTAACTCCAAGTGGCTTAGAGCCGTGGACAGATTATAAGACGATGGGCCTCTGGACACAGACTTGTAAAAGTCTTACTACAAAAGGAGTAAGACACCCAGACTGCAAGAGACACAAAACAATAAAGCGTTTTGTGGTCTCCGACCATGTTAACAGTCACTTCACACAAACGCTGTGCTTCAGGGGCCCCTGGTCATGAACCAGCAGACTTTATATAGACAGGTTTAAAACCTCGAGTTCAGCATTTTGGCCGAAGCCATCTTGTTTTTTTTGCACACAGAAGTGACAAAAGAGGGTGGAGCTAAGTACAACCGACCGCTGAACAACACGATCAAAATATTTAAATTACTTTTATTAAGGTTGTTAGAAGAAAACACGAACAACTCCAAGAGTGGACAACACCGTGGTAGAAACCTGTCAATCACCGTGTAGCCCCGCCCTAAAGCATCCCCTGCTTT